AGTTGACGTTTTTTTTTAGCTAATACCCTCAGGCATCACAGCATTAAAATTCCAACCTAACTTAACCTAACCTAACCTAACGAAACACTTTCTAAGCTCATCACAACTCCAGATGTCTATATTAAAAAAAAAGTAAACAACTTTGGTGTGACAGTCGCTTTATGGACCTCAAAACATACATTATGTTGAAAAAACTTTGAGGACCGTATATAGAAGTAGCGAAAACTATCTTGTAGCTGGTTAGGGCTCATGTACAATTTCTACTAGGGTATACGCATTTAAAATTTATAATGGTAATCATTTATGTTCATAGACGAGAGGTCATTATTTTTAGAAAGACTATTATTTTATGTGCACTTTTAACGCATTTATTTTTTTAGATGTTATAACGGGTGCCCGTTATAATTAATTGTTTATAATCCACCAGCCGCAAGAGAGCGCTGGAAGGCTAGGGATTTCCGAAAAATTAGGAGTTCTGATCGGGAATTGAATCCGATATCTTCGGACTACCAAGTCGGCCACTTACCACTATGCCACTTAACCCACTGTCCGTTCTGAAAAATCCTATTTAATTCTTCTTCCGTCATTCCTAGGAGACGCCCTCTCCAGCTCTGTAACGGCACGTTATTCTCGTAAGTCCATTAGCAAGAAGAATATATCACTTCTGTCGACGGATGCAAATAACACGTAAGACCTACCTTTCTTGTTAGCATAACATTTTGAAAATCTTTATGATAACCTTTTCTGGAATTGGTGGTAAATATAAATTATGGGGTATGTATTTTACACGAATTTAATTGCATTTATTTAAAAAAAATAAACGTTCATCTCGCCCCGTTTACGCGTCATAATCGAGAACTAAGAAAAAATCAGCATTTTCAAGAATACATTTCATCCCCTGACAATGGGATTCCGTCAAAAAAAAAGCACGCGTCGAATATTTTAATCCACTCTACAATCCTGAAAAATTTCATTAAAATTAGAGGGGGATGCCACGCGTTGTTTCGTTGTTAATACAACTACATGCGTATGCGCAAGTAGAAAACCTTTAGGAAATTATTTTACAAATAACTTTGTAAATTTACGTTCAATGATTTGATCAAACATGGAATATTAAAATAGGTTATAACAGGACGTGAAGGTTCAAAACAGAATGTTAGGGTTGAAAAAAAAGCAAAAGAGGCTTCGATGAGAACCTCAAGGTTCAATGTAATCTTAAAATTTTGACACGGAATATCACATTACATACAATATACAATAAATGTATAATATACAGGGATAACTGAAAAACAATATTGATTTAAAAGAAAATCACAATTAAGAAATACATCCAAAATTGAGATATAAAAAATTTGTTTAAATTAAGACGCTCGAGAAACTATGTAAATTTATGATTTAGTACGTATAACAGTTTTTAATATATTTTCATTCAGAAAAATTGGCATTTTATGATTCTAATGTCTCTATCTTACATCTTCGATCTTAGGGAGCAAGTCAGCTGTTTGGTAAACAGTGAAGAGAGGAATCGATTAAACAGGAGCAACGTGACAAATCGCGTTCAGTCAGCAGCGAAGTTTCGAGATGATTTCACTTTGTAAAAGATGGCCGTGAGCATGAATGAAAACATTAAGAGGATGAAAAAGTGACATTCTAGTGGACCAATATTTTTAGTAGTAGAAGAATATAAATTGAAGACGCTTAAAGGTGGCCTTGTTGGGTGCACAGCTGCCTTACTCTTGGAACAGCTGATAGAGTGTCCAGGGGTGCAACACGCCGGCGCTACTCTCGAATGATGAAGAGCAATTTCTTATATTCAAAAGTGCCGGTTACTCCTTATTAAAATTTCATGTTTCCCTTAACTCTTCAGTAAGCCTCCCTTACAGGCTTGTGTTTTTAATCACGAGAGATTTACGGGTCAACCGTGCTCGTTCTATGTAGAGGCATACTATTCCAAGATATATTGCTACTATTTTTGCATGGAAATAAATGTGTCTCGTAATAAGTTCTTGCAGTGTTCATAATTAATCTTGGCTCTTTGAATTATCACAATTAACGGTTGGCGTTAACGAATCGTGCTGACGTTGGCACATTATTGGATATAATAATCGATACGCTCTTTCATTTGTTTCGTTACTCAACCATTCGCCTTATTTGCAATCATAATTGTACGATTTGGCTAGTGACAAAAATTAAGAGAATTTGTTTATAGATTATTTTAAGTTACACACGAGTTATATTCGATGAATGCTGTCCTTCAACTTATAAATTAAGGCTCACTCACAAAGAAGGTATTACCTGTGTCCATCTCCGATTATGATGAAACCCAAATATGTTGTAGAGCATAAAAAAATTAAATGGCAAGTAATTTCTTTATCTGCGGAAAAGTTTTGCGAACTCTTGTATCCCAAGGGAAACGGAGCTAAAACCGATTTTGAATATCAAATTTTGAAATTCACAATGCCAGTCACTATAAAATGCAATTTTTTAATTTTTATTTTAGGAGTTAACTATTTTATTGCATTTATATGGTGTGAAGTGGTGAATTCACCAATCACGGTCCTCGGCTAAAACCGGGGTGCTTGCGAGTATATGATACAACTTTGAGAATTTCTGCAGGCAGGATCTATCCACCTCAAGGGCCTATTAGATTTATGATTTGCTTTCCAATTTCTGTTTATTCTTTTGTTTCTTAGCCGAGCAAACATTTCGTATTTGGCGCTTGCTGGCCAAGTCTACGCATCGACGGGGACGAGCCAGCCAGTACTATAGATAGAGAAAAGACGGCGATCGGTGCAGCTATGTCAATGAGTGAACTGACCCAGAAGCGGCGCGCGCCGCGTGAGCAATGTTACCCCGCGCTGACTGGATCATCCTTCTCGGCTTTACACTACTATGCGAGCCAAGTACATTGGCTTGCGACTCGACGGCATCGACATATTAATACTGGAAAAATGGGGCCCACCGCCAAAATTGACCATGTTCCCCTGAATTAAGGGAACGTGTATTACAATAACAACGCGAAGTGGCCAGTAGTTAGTGGCCCGCGAGACTGAATTATACGGATGCTATTTCGGTGTAAAGTTAATTGCGAACGTGGCTAGTGTATTTTCTGGATTATTGTTGTTAATCCTCCATTACTGTACCGCGCTAAGTCGCGAATTAGAAATGTAGTTACAATTGTATTTATTCCTATTCGTTGTCTTTGTACGATGACTTTATTCCATTATACATTTTTTTTTAAGTTACCGTTAGGATAATTTATTTAATGCTCTTTCAAAATTTTATTATATCCGATCGCGCGAAAAGCGGAGTATCATTTTTATAAGCTCAAATTAACTTCTTTCCTTTTGTAAACGTGAAACCGCGTATATTAAGTGAACAATAAATTAGAAATCGTTGAGTGTTTAATAGAATGTTTTCGTGTCACTTATTGGGTTCTCGTCCCGAAGATCCCCGCCGCCTCCGCTAGCTGGATTGGTCGGCATACGTGTAGGAAGATAGTTTTTTTTCTATTTTGAACGAATTGGTTTGCGAAGAACCTGACGCCCAACATAGTTATGAAATGGTGCCTCGAATTCCCGTGGAGATTCGCAAAGGTACGTCGCAACGGAAATATGTAAATTCTGCGAACAAAATTCATTAAAAATAACTCATCGCTGATTCATAGATACGGTATTTGCATCTCGTTAGTTATAGTAATATCCGTAGCGCAGTACGCCTGCGGAGTTCCATTGAAAATTTGTAGAGAAGTGAAAGGATTTTTTATAGAATTCTAATGTATATTTTGGCAAGACTAATTGTAACTCCTCTGATTTCATCCTAATATTTGTTGCTTTATATGGCCCCTGCAATGCAAAGACTTTTTGGTGCAGGGTATATGTATAATAAATCCCCCAAAAAACACTTACGTGTAAAAAACTACGCCAAGTCCAGGATTGCTGTGAATTCCTCTAACAAAAAGTATTGATATCATATTATTGAGGCCAAGTACATAAGTCACTACATGTTTTCCTATTATATGATCTAGCACTGGCCCATCATTTTAATTATATTTTCAATATTTCCTATAACGTTTTCGCTACTTTTTTATGTTACTACTGCTTCCCGTATTTAATTATGATTTAATGGGGATTTAATAATTAATAAAACTTTAGGTGATTCCTTATCGAGTACTACTTAGCGGGTCCGTGCATTTCTTGATATAAATTTGGTACAAAACCAGTACCAATTTTCTATAGAAAGCATACTAACAATAACTCGTTAAAAATAATCACGGTAAAAGCTTAATAACAAACATACAGCATTAGAATACTATGACCACGTGCAAAGTAAGTACTTTGGAATTCCTGGCACGGACCCATCAAGTAGTACTCGATAAGGAATCACCTAAAGTTTTATTAATTATTAAATCACCATTAAACCATAATTAAATACGGGAAGCAGCAGTAACATAAAAGAGTAGCGAAAACGTTATAGGAAACATTGAAAATATAATTAAAATGATGGGCCAGTGCTAGATCATAAAATAGGAAAACATGTAGTGACTTATGTACTTGGCCTCAAAAATATGATATCAATACTTTTTGTTAGAGGAACAGCAATCCTGTACTTGGCGTAGTTTTTTACACGTAAGTGTTTTTTGGGGAATCTCTACTAAGTGAACGTGCTCGCTAGATTTGCCTTTTAAACTTTAAACGCGTTTTTCTCAAAACAACGTTTTTTCGGCCGGCGGCGGTGATTTCTCCGGAACCAGTGAACCGATCCTTATGAAATTTTAACTACATATTCTACACATGAATAGCTTCAGCGCATTCGATAACCGTATTAAAATTTTAATTTTTACTATTTTTTTGCCAAAAGCAGTGAAAAAAGACATATACCATCACCGCGCAGCCACTTTGAATCATTTTAATTTGGTGTAATAAGAAGTAATGTGTTTCCAAACTTTGATGCTGTGAATGAATCGGATTCCCGTGTTTAGGGATTTCTGTAATCTTTGTTGTTTTCCCGTTATATCGCAAGCGATTAGACATCAGTGACCAATATCAGGTTGAATTAAGGATGCCAGTAGCTCAGTACGAATTTCAGAGAGTAGCAGCTTCCGCTTTAACATTAGTTGATAGACTTGGGAGTAGATCTTTTTTATAAGTATTGCTTGTGTGGCTATACTGTGAGAGAGTGGAAGAAAAGGTTACACGAAGTATTTTTACTTCTTGTTCGTATGGTATTCCCACGCGGTCTACGAGGACTTTGGAACAGTGTTTAACTCAATCTGATTTATGCATCTAGGTGTGCCAATAATAATGGATTTCCTGAATCAGGCCATTGTATGAGGCCTATAATCTGATGTGCCTGATATCAGAATTTATTCTGAGTATTCCCTCACATAAGGTAAGAGATCCAGTTTCGGACGCTTTTAGGTTATCGGTCAATATTTATTCAGATTTTAGTGATTTAATGGCCTACCGATATAAACTCTTTAAATATTTTTATAGAAGGGGTTTGAATTTATCCAAATCACCCCTTATTATCAGTCGTTAATTCGTGGAAAACAGATTTCAATTGAAAATACCCAAGAGTATTAATGTACCACTTTTGGATCAGCCTTATTGCCTCTTGCTTCATTTTCGAACCACCATGTCACCGAATTTCGGATCGTGCATTGTCGGGCCTTCGTTCACTTGCCGTAATTATACTTGACTCAAAATAAACATGAACAAATAGACCAAAAATAATATATAATGACAATATTCAGATGCGAACAATATATACATTCTTCGTAAGATGCATTTTTATTTAAATAAATAATATATAAATATTCATATAGTAAATTGCATCTTTTCTTTGGCTCTTCGCTTTTGGGCTCTTTGTTTCTGCACTTTTACCTTTTTTTTCCTTCTGTTTCGTTTGTTTTCTCTTCTGCCTTTTTTATGGCTAATCCTGTTTTCTCTTCTTTTATTTTCATTTGCTTCAAGCGTATTAACTTTCTTTGCTTCTTTGCTTCTTTCTCTTCTTTTTTTGCTGCATCTTCTGTTTGTGGAAGTCCCTACATTGTTTGGCCATCGCCACAGAAGGTAACTTTTCTTTCCTTCTTCTCTTGTTGTCGATTTTCTGTTTTGGCTCTGGGCAAAATAAAATTTCTTTTTGAACGGCGTTCCCTCGAAAATTGTATGCACTCCTACAATCTGCCTGTCCGAAATACTTGTCGACGGAGGCTGTGCTTCTCTATTCAAGTCGTCCATGGTCTGAACTTAGTCCAATGTAGCGATGGCATCGCCTTTATCTATTGTCGTAATTTTACTGAGCACTGGAATTGAATATTCTTATAGTTAATGTCGTTCTCAACTTGTAAATCTATAACACAAGATATTTTGAGCAATTCATATAAATTCAATATCCACTAATATTCGTACGCACTTGATATATGCGAGAACTCATCGGCAAGGAGGTCAGGCTCCAATAAGTTATTAGCGATGAATTCTGCAAAATCGAAAACGACTATTTTGTTTGTCGTAATGTGTTAATCGACGCTATTGATATTCATGAACTGATTTAAGTCTTGATGTATTTCGCTTTCCCGTGAGTTTCTCCTCTATTTCATAAATCTGTTTGAATTGCTTAGATTCACGCATAGAGCTAACTCCTATCACATCTTCGAGGTTATCTTTCTACAATACATTAATCAAAACAAAATATTACGAAATTATAGAATCCATTCAGTTCGAAGTTCGCCTTTCTATGAATTAATTGAAATATAAATATAATATACGATTGAATTGTTTCAGCTAATTAATACGGGATTCAACGATAATTTCATGGATTGGCACAAACACTAATCCTTCACTGTAGACGGCATCTCTATCCCTCACCGTCATCCTTCACTTCCCGGGTCTAAATGCCAGACTACTTCGCATTTTTGAAAAATTGGTGAGTCTCCTTCGCGACACTGGTTTCGCTGAAATCCAGGTGTAACTTGAAATGAGAATCTGGTTGCAACCTATCCTGAACCTCTGGAGACTGCGGTTTCTTGCGATCTTGAACTGACTTCTGAAGCTTTCTGTATTTAATAGCGTCTGCGTTAAAGGGATGAAACCATCACGTTTTGAATTCATTGCGAAGAATATTTTCAGCGTTCATCATGCTTAAAGCTGCCTCCAGTAACGGAGCGAAGTCTTCATTGGGTGGAAGATGTGCGTCGCGTTAGGATACAAGACGATTATTTGTGTGACATAATCAAGTGTTGCATGTTTCCACCCATGAACAAGACGACGGACAACCGAATAGAATTTTGGATGCTCCAGGAATAAAGAACTGTGCTAAAGCACTTGTAGAAGCTCTCGCCTGTCATCCAACCATTTTCGGATCGATCAATACTCCAATCTTTCGGCATCCCTTGTAGCATATTCTAAGTATAATAGATATATTTAATTGTATAACTGTTCAATTTATTATAAGTTCAAAATTGCGAAAGAGAAAATTATCATTGTTTTAATTTCAACAAAAACCATCACGTATATCGCTAATCACCATACAATTATATCAAAACATGACTAAATATATATTGTAACGTTCCACCCTTATACCCCCCTATCCTCGATCCTTTTTCCTTCCCAATCATCCATTCTCGATGATGGATACGTCAAGAGCCCCACATAAGAGTGCATAGCGCACAGTGGATGTGCATAAACGTATCTGAGAGAACTCCTCAAATCCTAGAATTCCTCAATAATTCTATCGACCTCTCACAGCGACGCCGATAAAGGAAAGGGAAGACAGGACTTTTAAATATCTAATACTGCGTAATTCCCTTGAATCTGGTCACAGCGACAGTCATGAGGATATAATATTAGAAATTATTACTTTTAATATTCCTAGAATCCAAAATACATTTGGCAGACTGAAACCAAAACAAACAAATGCCCAGACACTATAAGCCGGCACGCGCCGAAGACAATAGAAATACCAGTAAGCCGGTACTTGAAGAAAACCGCTAATAGAATCAGTCAAACCAAATAATCAAATCAAATCGTAAATCAAAATATTGAATCCAAAAAGCGACGTTAACACCTCGGGTGGATAAAAATCGTTATCCCCACTAGTTTTAACGTATGCCTATCGAGGATATAAGCAGCGGCTTCCTTGACAGGATTTGATTCGACTCACTCGTGTCTATCTAGACGAACCGACAAGACCCTTGTACACCACAAGACGGCAAGAAGGAAGTAAAGATTTGGAGAGTATAAATTATCAAAAAGATAGGAGAAAAACCAATCCTCTGTTCCAGAGCGACCCAGTGAACAGTATTGTACTGCAAACTGTGGGAACTCATCCTCGGCAGTTCCTGATCTTGGAAAGCATTGTGTCTCCACCCTGTATCAGGACATCTGCTATCCTTGTAGATATTCTGCATCAAAAGCATTGTGCTGGAGCTGTCAGAAATCGACCAC